CGGAGATTTACCAATTTAACCAAATAGATATGCTGATGACAGTTGACACAAATCAATATCGATTTGAACTATTGAAAAAAACATTTTAAACTATTTCTGAAATTCATTGCAAATAAACAGAAATAGTTTCTTAATAAAACTCTTGCATACATTTTTACACTAATTTCATTAATGTCAAAGACGTGTGGTTCAAGAAAGCACCTGTATCACTGGCCATTTTGCCATCCCTGAGCGCGCGAAATTCTAGCTTTGCTATTCGAGATGTTTAAACTGTTCCCATTTGAAAACTATTATAGCCTCGACTTTTTCGTATTAGAATTTTTGTCTCAAAATGTTACAAAGTACTTGTCATTAAAATATTTATCGCCAGTTTAGGTACACCCTGTATATAACTTTGTACAGTTGCACGAAGTATAGTTTTTCCCATTAAACTATTTTTCATATAAAATCATGTATAAATCTATAAACTTATACAGAACAGTATCAACATTATCATCAAACCTCTCTACAGCCCCAAGTAGGCCTGGCCTTCACAACAAATTGCCTCCTCCCGAGGCACATTTGTGTGTATTCGCAACAGTGAATTTTTACGGTGAGGGGTTGTTGCCTTTCGCCAACCTCCTTTTCGGAGGACAGGGATATGTGCGGCAGGATACTCTCGGTAGTTGCCACTTCTCTCCGAGAGAGAGGTAGCGTCCGAGAAAACCAGCGGTATCCGTGGATTTAAATTCGGATCCTCTCGTTCATTTGTTTACCAAGTAGCGCGTATTTCTCTGCGCCACGCTCGCGACTACAGAACAAAATTTTATGCAATTAAGTACATGGATATATTTCCACGTTTATTTTTTCTAGATATTTATTCATGTCCATGCATGAAAAATGTTTACTGGTTTATTATATCTATTATATTATATGATTGTCATCAAAAAGGCTTTCTCGATAATGGAAATTGATCTAATTTCGACTTAATTTCGACGTTATGTCAGCACGTGGTATCATTAGCCGACCATCGCACCGCTTGTCGTATCGCAGTGAGGATTATCGCCCTAAATAATAAAGGATTCGTTACTATGTGTGCGAGCCATGCCTGTAAGTTACGGCGCAACCCCCGTTTTAAGTCGATACGTGACATATTTAACCGTTGAGACTTACATAGGTCACTCTCGACGAACTACGCTCGCGATCCGATTTATACTATTTGTTTTACGTCATTCGTTTCGTATGCGCTCGTACTTTGCGTACGAATCATTTATTTTCATCGACCCCGCCCACGTATGTGATGATGGTAAGCCAGCTCATTCGCAGGAATTTTGCGTACATTTTTTATCCGTAGATTCCGTGTGTTAAAAGAGACCGATAGTGTTCCGTAAAGTTTTCTACCAGGGACAATTGATTCCATCCCCAAAGTCTACCAAAATTGCGCTCCGATAATTATTCTGCATATTTAATAAGACAAAAATAGTAGAAACGGATTTTCATCATATTTCACTTTCAAGATACTTTTTGAAATTTGTAACATGAGTGATATTTTCTTTCCCAGTGCTAAATAACCGGACAAGTAATATTATTCGACCGTATTTAAAATTTCTAAAATATATTATGAAAATTAATCGACGGAGATTTCGGGAAGAACGCGAACTTCTGTAAAAGGAAAAAGACATTTGATAATTCATAAATCTTGATGCGCGAGCTAAGCTTGTTATTTAAATTGATGCGGTCGTAGAACGGCGGTGCTGGAGGCATTGTTTTTCAGCTGATAATTAACGTGGGCAATGGTAATGAGGAATGCGACTCGTGAAGCGTTCCGGAATAATATCCGGGAAATGGACGCCGCGCGCCGATACGGCGATCCTAGCGGAAGCTTCGTTTCACCAGTTGCTAACCCCTGCTCTAGGCATCTTGGAACTTTAGACTGTTTTCTTCGTTGAAACTTTCTTTACGTTGAAAACTGCACGGAGCACGGTGGCGGCGTGCTGAATTATTAAGAGGATTATAGACCCCCTGTGCAACTCGGGGACGGTGTAAGAAGCGACATGGCGTCGGAGGAACGTCGCGCAGCGCGACGAAGCGGTCTGCGCCTGGTTACCGGGCCCCGATTGGTCCACGTTTGGTACCTACCCCGCTGGAAGGGGTTCCCCAGCGGCGCGGGGTAGTGGTGGCGGTCAGGTCATCACCGAGGGTTGGAACAAGAAGGCAGGAGCAGAGGGTACTTGGGCCTCGGCCGGAGAAACGAGACCGCTCGCGACGTGTCACGAAACGAGCCACAAAACGACGACTGATGGCAGGCCGGCTAGTTAGTTTGCTCTTCTTCGTTCTTCTGATATATCTGGCACGATTGCTGCAGCGTAATCGCGAGGCGCTGAAGGCCGCGTCGTAAAGTGGCCGCGGACCAAACGGGAGGCTCTTCGCTCTTGGGCATCTTAGTGATCTTGGACAGTCAAAGCGACCAAGGTAGGACCCTTATTTCAAAACAGGCGTTTTCCGAACAGCGCGAAAGCGTGAAACTTGAAAAGGTAGTCTTTCATTTGTAAACACAAAAGTATACGGCGCATGCCTGAAGAAACGGAAGACTCGTCTGACAAGTGAACGGCAAGTGAAAAAATCTAGAGACTACCTAAAATACAAACGGATTTCCGCTAGATTCTTTAGATATTTCTTTGCCGATTTATAATGCATCGCGTCGTTTGCGTAATCGACCGCGTGCGCAAAAGAAGAGTGTACTTCTGGAAGTTTCGCTTGCATAATTTCACGCATGACGGCCTCGTGCATGACAAATGATGCGGATCGTGTTTAGTGTGCCAATTAACCGCGAGTTGTAATGCTGTTAACGAGTTTTAACGGCACTTTCGCGCGATAAAGCGTTCGATATTTACGATGAAGCAATGGTCAGTTCGTGCCGTTTGCTCGTAGATGATGAAGCAGCAACAGGGCCTGGTGGCCGATCTCATGCCCAACATAAGGGTCATGAAGATCTTCGGGCACTTCGTATTCAACTATTACGACGACAATTCGTCCAAATACCTACACAAAGTGTACTGCTGCGTAAGTAACCACGAGTTTCGACATTTTCGTAGTGTTTCTTCCAAACCGCAACGACAAAATCTAATTCCCACTGGTCGAATCGAAGCCGTTGTCGACATTGCTCAGTCTATGATTTTCGAGTAGCATCTTGACGATATTGTAAAAATCGTCGGAAAGTCACTGCTATGTTTAGTTTACATCCACGTTTCTGTGGATCAAAGTGACGATCCTCCGGGTCGCGCACGCACACCGCAACGACTATCTTTTCCAGGTAAATCTATTTCTGCTGCTGTTGCAATTCGGCCTGTGCGCGGTGAATCTGATCATCGAGAGCGCCGACGTCGACGATCTCACGGCCAACACGATCACCCTCCTCTTCTTCACGCACAGCATCGTCAAGATCGTTTACTTCGCCATTAGGAGCAAGTACTTCTACAGAACGTGGGCGATATGGAACAATCCGAATTCCCACCCGCTCTTTGCCGAGAGCAATGCGAGATACCACGCGATCGCCCTCAAGAAGATGAGGCTGCTGCTCTTCTTGGTCGGCGCCACCACCGTGCTCGCCGCGGTAGCTTGGACCACTCTCACGTTCTTCGAGCATCCGATCAGAAAACTCGTGGATCCGGTCACGAACGAGACGACAATTATCCAGGTAATAATTCAGACTTGTGATACGCAAAACATATTATTTTTCTTCAGCACGTAAATTAACAAATTATTGAAACTGGTTCGAAATGCTTTAATATAAAATTGCTTCCGCTATTAAATCGTCATACTTTTTACTTTACTTTTCTTTATCTACGCCATTGCACTTATTGCACTACGTAATTGCACACTCGAAACTTAGTTTCTTCACATATGAATATACAAATTTCTTTTCTTCGTGATTTAGTTGCCGCAACTGCTGGTCCGTTCGTTCTATCCGTTCAACGCCGGCAAGGGAATAACGCATATATTGATACTCATATACCAATTATATTGGGTGCTCTTCATGCTCATTAACGCCAATTCGTTGGACGTTCTCTTCTGTTCATGGCTGTTGTTCGCCTGCGAACAATTGCAGCATTTGAAACAGATCATGAAACCCCTGATGGAGCTGAGCGCAACTTTGGACACGGTGGTTCCGAACAGCAGTGAGCTCTTCAAGGTACATCAAATTTCAACGTTTACCGATTGTTCGCATAAATTTTATTCCCTTTTGCATTTGCAATTGTAACAGCAAGAGTAAACGATTCGAAGATCCAGAAAATCTTACATCCGCAAGATTAAGACTTCCCTCAGACTTTATACGTTCAACACCTACAGAATTTTCTTGTGCACGCAGGCTGGTAGCGCGGATCATCTGCGTGAATCAGACAATCAGCCGCCACCGCCGATACCGCCCCAAGGCGACAGTATGCTGGATCTCGATCTTCGTAACATATACAGCAATCGGCAGGACTTCACGGCGACCTTCCGGCCAACCGCCGGTATGACCTTCAATGGTGGCGTAGGACCGAACGGATTAACGAAGAAGCAAGAGATGCTCGTGAGGAGCGCCATCAAGTACTGGGTGGAGAGACACAAGCATATCGTCAGGTGAGTCAATTTTATCAGATCGACCTACGATATTCGCGCAGGTCTTGACGAGGCTTGTCGCGATGCCAATTGGATTGGCTTCTCGCCCCGTAAAGAGAGGTCGCAAGATAAAGCGCCAAGACGTGCGGGATAAAAGATTCAGAATGCCGTGACGAGAGATGCAAAACCGCCCCCCCATGCTCTACTTACCCCGCTGAAGACGTATAGTTAATTCATGCGGCTCCTACACCACGAGCGAACGACGGATCATTTCTTTGAAAGTCATCTGCATCTCTTGTGTGAACTAGTGACCCAGAATAATCCTATATAACACGCTTACGGCGTGTAAAGTATTTAGTATATAGTCGGCATTATATTGACCCCATAGAAAGACGCGCTAACTACTCTCTCAATTATTAAAGGGCGCGTATGACAAAGTTGCGGCCAAACATCGCGCTCGTGAATATTTTAGGATACGCATAAACATATTTTATATGTCATTCTTTCGAGACACCTCATATCAATTATATAATATATGATATTGGGAAAAGAACTTTCTTTACATCGAGGTACCACGGGTAAAACCGAGAGCTTTGCAATTTTGATCGCGGCTAAAAAAGAAATAAGGGGAAAATAAATACAACTCTACAAACGTCCAAATATTAAGTGTACTTTGGCGTATAAGGCGGACTAATTATTGCAATCTATGCCACGGTTTAAATTCTTCTAATACTTCTGTCGATCATTTCATTTTGCTACTTATTAATAAACGCTAATTTGTGAAGCGCAAGAATCATCAGTGAGCGGTGCTGCAATGCGCTTTGTCGTATTGATGTATGTGTAAACTCCGTAATATCAAAAAAATTGCAGAGATCACTAATAGGAAGCCAATCACCGATATAAGATAATAAATTTTTTTTAAGCCAACTCTATTCTTGTACAATAACGAACTAAACGATGCTCAATTGAAATCCGCGTGGCAACGCATTGAAGCTAATCGAAACTGAACAAAGTCTGAAATCGAGTAAAACCCCGGTAAAAAATTTGTCATGCATAAGCATGCATAAATATATAGTATTATATAAACTTTTACATTGTACGTTTCTATACAAAATTTTATAAAGTTCTATATAATTTTATAGAATTATGCACGCTTCCTGTTATAGAAATGTACGCGAAATAATTACTAGAAAATTACTGTACATCAATAATTTCTAAATAATTCAATTACTGAACCCTAGTAATTGTTCAGTGCTTTGTTCCCAGTTGTAACATTTCTGTAAGGGTTTATATGAAAAATTTTTTTTAAGGGAGAACTTGCTCATTTACAATTACATAACTTTGTACAATTGTACACAAATATATATAATTATAAACAATTTTTCACATAAAAAAATTTTTCATATGAAAGCATGTATAAAACTATATAGAAATATACAGTGTAAAAATGTATGGACATATTTCACGTATAATTATATATAATACTATAATATTTATGCATGCTCATGCATGACGAATTTTTTTCCGGAATTTACTTGAATTTATGGATAGTAAAAGTAAAAGTTTCTCGAAAGTAAGACGAGTAAAACGGGTCTACTTTCGACGCTCGTCTACAGTTTGACAACTAATCGCGAATAACACGGATTCCGGTTAAAAGGGCTTTCCTTTCTCCAATTGTGACGTACATCGGTACTTGGTAAAGTTCCGAGTGTGCGGAATACGATCCGAGCATCGGCAAGATCGATCGCTCCTCGGGGAAAAAGAAAATTTCTTTTTTTTTTCGCGAGAACGGCGCGAACGGATGCCGTGTTCCTGTAGGTTCGCGGGGGGTGCCGAAGCCACTCGTCGACTGGCACGGGATGCGCGTGTTCCCACGGTGGTGAAGTATTTATTCTAAGAAAGCGCGATATTGACCGCAACGGGGGTCGTGTGTTGTACGGACTGCGCGATTCATGGGGGGACGGGTGTGCTCGCTGCGGCGCGTTCACGTGCACGTAACGTGCGCACACGTGGTTCACCTGCCAACGCACGCGTGACGACAGATTTTCGTTCATGGGGTCGGGTCCCGCGGACACATGTTTCACACCCGTGCGGCGCCATTGGCCGGATTATGCGCGTGCCAATGACAGCCAATTTTATTGCATACCCCGATACAGGGATCCCCCGTTGTTATCTTCAGCGCACGTTTCTTTTTATTCTTTTTATTAGGCAGAGTGGAATATACAATCTCTAGACCCGCGCGATTTCGGTACTGTACCTGAATTTCTCGAAAGTTAAAAGTAAAAGTTTCTCGAAGGTAAGAAGACAAGTGAAACGGGTCTATTTTCGACGCTCGTCTACAGTTTGATAAACTAATCGCGAGTAACACGGATTCCGGTTAAAAGGACCGTCCTTTTTCCAGTTCTGACGTACATCGTACTTGGTGAAGTTCCGAGTATGCGGAATACGATCCGAGCAAGATCGACATACATCGAATCTTCCGTTACTTGTGTGCAGACATGAACTTTCTTCCGAGAAACTCTCCTCTTTGATTTTAACTTGAAATTCCCTAATTAATTCTCGATGACCTTAGCAAGAGCCTAAGGGGCCTGCGAATTGACCCGAAAATCGTTACGGTGGTTATTACCTGCGAACAGTAGAGGCTCGTATTATCACCTACGCGATATTGGAAGATATTGACCGCAACGGAGGTCATGTCCTACGCGTAAGTAGTCTAAGGGGATGAAGTGCTTCCACACAGCGGACTGTATATCGCGCTATTCGTTCCGGAGTTGCAAGAATTTCCAATCCACACGATCCTACCGCGCTCGACACGTTCTCGCGTTTTGCAGATCGGATTTTTCACGGACGGTGACAGCCCGGCGATAACGGGCCATTCGCGTTTTCTCGAGGCACCTCCGACGTATCGATCATTCACTTACAACAGTGCCAACTCGAACGATCGACGAAATGGAATACACGTGGTGAAACGGAAGCGAATATTCGCCCGTCGCTGTTCAACTTTGTTCTAATCGCTTAGTTTAGTATGAAAATCAAGGGTGACGTACCTATGGAACGTACGAAAGGACGGGTATTACGAATATATCTTTCATGAGCCGCTTGTCAACGGCGCTTTTACACGCGGGCATAAGTCACCCGTAGACGGCCCGGGTCGTCCTTTCAGCGATCGGCGATGTTAACAGTAATTGTTGTGTCTATGTAGATTGGTCACCGCGGTCGGAGATGCATACGGTTTCGCGCTTCTGCTCCACATGCTGACGACGACCATCACTTTGACGCTGCTCGCCTACCAAGCGACGAAGGTGAGTTTGCCAGATGGCCGGGCTCCTTTTCAAGGTCCCGAGCAAATGACTTATCGATCGTATAAATTAGTAAGGCAAGTAATGCCAAGTCGATGAGTTAACGCGAACTCGAACATTACTTAAGGATTAAGTATTTATACTAATATGTTCGAGTTTTAAATGCTACAGGTGAACGGTATAAACGTATACGCGGCCTCCACGATCGGCTACGTGCTCTACACGTTCGGCCAGGTCTTTTTGTTCTGCATTTTCGGGAATCGTCTGATTGAAGAGGTGCGTACGCGCCAAGCTCGCAGAAGACTCGACGAGTCTCTGGAGCTTTCGGCATATAAAATGGTGTGCTCTGATAAAACATTAGGGCGGACGTGATAAAAATTTCACAGATGGAAAACCGTTTTTTTAAATGCAGTTTTGAGTAATACGAGAATAAAGACGTCGCCAGTAAACAATTAACCAATGTAGGAAAATTACTAAACGACACAACTGGCAAATCACAGATAGTATTTAATAACGCCAGTAGTTAAAAACCAACACTGAGAAAAATGTCCGATTAAATATAATCGGATAATCCATTTACATGATAACAAACGGATATGTCCGATTAAATTGTATATCCGATGAAAAATTTGATCGGTTTTTTAATCAAATTTCATCGGTAATTGCATTTCATCGGATAAATTTCATCGGATATATCCATAATTTAATCGGAAAAAGTAATCGGAAAAATTAACCATCGGACATACTATTTAATTGGTTTATCCGATGAAAATTTTTCTCAGTGAATGATATCCAATTTTAACGACCTACACTGGCAAACGTTTTTTCTTTAAAATCTGTTACAAGATTGTTAAAGATCACATATGAGATATTATTCAAAGATAAAGATATAAAAATTACACTCTTTGGTTGGCGAGTGCAGAGTCCATTGAAATTGCATCGTTATTCATTAAATATGTACAAGAGCGACGAGAGAACTGCGTTGGACGAAAGATCAAGTTGAACCTGGCACATTCTAATTAGAGAAGTTTATTGCGAAAAATATTACCTCAGCCAGGGTTTGAACCTGGACCTCCCTACACTGTAGGCGTCTCACCAATTCGACCACCGAGGCATGCGGTGATATTTGTCGCAATGAACAGTCCAATGATGATACTTTCGACTTTAAACAACTTTGAGTAACGCGTTAATTGTAAGGGTCCCGTCTGTTTTTAGAGCACCTCGGTGATGGAGGCGGCTTATTCTTGCCACTGGTACGATGGGTCGGAGGAAGCTAAGACGTTTGTGCAGATCGTGTGTCAACAATGTCAGAAAGCTATGTCAATATCGGGGGCGAAGTTCTTCACGGTGTCCCTAGATCTCTTCGCTTCGGTAAGGCTAAATCTATCTCGGTCTGCGCCTCCGCCCCCCCCCCCCCCCGAGCTTGAATTTCTCTTCGCTCGATTATTACATAGCCAGGTTAACAGTTACGATAGAATAATGTGATTAATAATTTTCTAAAAATTCCCACAGGTACTGGGAGCCGTGGTGACTTACTTCATGGTGTTGGTGCAACTGAAGTGAACGCTCGGCTCCAGACGCGAATGCAGTCTCGCGCGTTGCACAGCGGCGTGCAAGATTATATTTTTTAACGTGTTTACAAGGGATCAAACGGAGCGATCGTGTCGCGAGGATTCTCGCGGGGAGAATCCGGCGTCTTCACGGGCGCCTAGCAAAGTATTGAGAATCACGAGATTGGAAAATCATGAAAAGCTACGTCGCTCGGAACGGAGTTTGAGCGATGAAAATGATAGAAATTATTTTTACCGTCACTCAAGAGATCGATCGGCGATAAAACCTAAATATATCCTTTTTATTTCATTTGTTATCGAGATTAACGAGCGGTGGGAGCACCTTTCTTTCGTTAAAGTGTAAATTTTAGCGCGTAGCTCTCTGTATAATTTTTCTCTCCACGTTTATTGTGCAAATATAGCGACAGCAAGGGATAACGGCAATGTAAGCACTCGTCGCGATTAATTTTCATGCACATTAATTATAAGTCGTAATGCTTAACGGGGAAGATATACGCTAATGTCATTCGAGGTACACGCCGCGGCGGCTCGTACCGATTGTCGTACGATCGATGGAACGTACATTAACGAACGGAGACGGAGGGAAGCTTATTGCCTTTGTTTTAGTCGTCCAGCAAAATTGCCTTGTTACGTTCTCAGACATATTCTATATATTTTAAAAATCCCGTGTGGCGGATTAAGTGGCGCGTGTACATTGACGAAGCGTCCTAACAGAGCGTGTAAATATAAGCTGTAATTGTATAAGAGGTGAGATTATCTTTTTTTTTTTTAGCAAAACAATAACGCCTAATTGTAATGTTACATTTGTTAGTGGCACGCTTTGTCTTTGCACGCAACAGGCAACAGGTTTACACTGGTTTACGGCGTTACCACAAACGCACGTCAACTCTTTTTATTAATTACATTTCTTACATTCTATATTAAGAGTTAGATCGCGAGAATATTGCCAATTAGATGCCATTTTAATTTTATCTCACGAATCTTGCAACCTTTAAGTGAATTTTCTTTCTCTTCTCTCTCTCTCTCTCTCTCTCTCTCTCTCTCTCTCTCTCTCTCTCTCTCTCTCTCTCTCTCTCTCTCTCTCTCTTTATTTCTCTCTTCCCCTCCCCCTTTCTCTCTTTCTTTTGTCGTATTAATGGTAAAATTTTACGATTTTACGATTTTACTCTCAGCATAGAAAATGAACTTCAACACGTAATAATAATTTATTAATCTCCCTATTTATTGTCATTTAACCCTGCAGCGGGGACAAAGCCTTTACTTCTTATCGCGCATCTACCGGAGGTTAAAAATTTGTCAGTTAACAAATGGCGATTAACAGAATGACTGTGAGTCTGCCGCGAGATAAATAAAAGATGTCGCGAAAAATCTCGCGGCATCGGAATGGGCAAGCGTCAGAAGCGTCTCGCTTCTCGATGTAAGAAGCGGCGATACAATTGATGTAGTACGTCAATTACTATGGTACAATTATCGAGCGGTACTCGGATCTAAATATAGAGAATAATATATACGTAACCACGTGAGCGTGGACAAACGTATACCTAATGTACCTCGTTTTTTATATCTCGTAACATCTCTCGGTGTCTTTAGTAAGATAACATTTTGTCACCTAAAAGATGTTCAAGAGAAGATATTTGCACCGTGCATGGCTGCTCATTCTGACCGTTACAATATAAATATGTATCTTTCATCGACGCGGATATCGTTTTACGAGACAACGCGAGATATTTTTAGTTTCTTTCGTCAAAAGGCGAGAGGTGTCGTCGAGAAGGAGGAGCGTTAAATATTATAGGACGCAAAGCGAACGTGTCTGGCGATATCCGAGCTCGATCTACTTTTACATTAATATATAATTAACGTATGTGTACATTACTATGGTCAAGTATTAATCGATGAGATCACAGTATTATCAAATAGTTTTTCTCTATGTAAAGCTGTACTATATTTATTTAATAAAATCTTGATATAAATATTCATATAAATTCCGTGTCGCAAGGAGAATCCGTATTTTTCTCGCGTTCGACTCTGTCGAGAGTTTAGCAAACTGCGACGTTCTCGCAACGTAATCTCACGAAAAAATCGTCTTTCGCTCGTCGAAACTGCAACGTGAATTCGCGAGTGTATTGTTGTAAGGCGGCACTTTAAGAAATAAAAGTTATAGAAAACGCGCCGGAGCACACAGCCACGTTGCAGTAGCCGCGATAATAAAGATTGTCTTGCTTCACGAAATCTAATAAATTAGCACCGACCGCGCCGAGTTTCTCCTTATTCGATTCGACCGTTGCCTTCGGAGAACGTGATTTTTCCGACATGTAGAAAGTAACAATATTTGTATTAAATGTGATTTACGAGTGAACCGCGCGTGCTAGTTAGCAGAAACAGGATTGTAGGGCTGAAGAGGGATCACGCCTTGCCATTCTTATTTACCCGAGGAACGGCTCCGAAAATTATGGACAAAGGATGAACTTTTTGTTCGCACTGCATTCTTCATCACATTCTCCCCCTTCGCTATTTAAAAATTTAATATAAAATATCAGGATAAATACCTCTGACGAACGAAATAAATTCAGATGCGCGCAGCTGCGCGCCTCTCCTCGTATTTTTCCAGCGTTAATAATAAAATATTGACATAAAGTGTGGTTATATGTGTACAGGGAATTTTAAAACTTTACAAGCTTGTAGTACTTACTGAACTGGATTAAAAAAAAGTTTAATTAATATAAATAGGCAAATAAATCCATTTTAAATAAACAACTTCCGTTTCGATAGCGTAAACCAATTAAATGCTGTTTATCGTTTGTGAAAACAAAAGACTTAACAACAGCACGAAACTATTTTACTATTTTAATTTCTATCAAGTTCAGCTTTGGGTAATATAGGATTTGTATCAGAATCCAAAGTGAAATTCTGTTTAAAACTGCATGTGCTACGTAACAGAAAATATTTAAGAAATCGCACTTATAAAACGTATTTACAAAATTGTAAAATTCTATTCTGAAATGTGATGCGAAATATGCATTATTTAAAGTGAGCTTTAAAAACATATTTTATGTCTCTCCATTGCACGTTTAATATCTTCGTGTGTCACCGAATATCATACCTTTTTTAAAAATTCCTGCATTTTAAACCGTTTGATACGCTCTCTCGACACGCAATTTACAGATTAATATTTATACAACAATATTTGTGGTATTTACGAAAAGTATTAAACCACTTTAAACGATTTACAATTCGCGTCTCTCGCAGAGCTCAGAAGTTTCGCCCGTATACTGCAAATTCACAAAAACACGCAGTCATAGATAGGTAATTTTTATCGAGGCAGAAAATCGGCCGAGTCTTTTTGTTCTGCATATTCGTGAATCGCCTGATTGAAGAGGTGCGTACGTGCGAAGCTCTCAGGAGACTCGACGAGTCACTGGAGCTTTTAGCACAAAATGGTATTCTCTGATAAAACATTAAGACGAGCGTGATAACAATTTCACAGGCGAAAAACCGTCTTTTTTAATACGCAATAAATTTAAAAATATGAAATATTTGGACATTAACAACCTGTCACGGCTCCCAGTCCTTTATTCCTTCAAATTTGTGCTTATCACATTTGAGCCATACGAATTTTATTAATTACGCGGACGTAACACGCGTTTCTTACTTCATTTAATTATTTGTTCGAGTGGAAGGGTAATACCGGGGATACATTGTACACTGACATAATTTTGTTTAAACGAAGTAAATAGATTTACTTAAAATTATTTTTTTAATATAAACTCACAATGTTTTATACTTTCGTTTTGTAACACATGTCCGAATCCTCGTTCGAAACATTTGAATAAATAAAACAAAATCAGAGAACAGATGCTGTATATTGCACAAGTAGCAAATGATATAAAAATGTCAAACACTCACCTCATGATTGCTCCGCCGTTGCCCGATGCCTTCCAAGCCTCGTCTTCCTCTCAGATTTCCTTGTTGCCCTTGCACAACACACTCACTCGCGAAAATCATCGATCGCGCGAAATTTCGGACACTCCCGTACGCGATGTCAAGTACCGCGAAACGCACGAAATATTATTAACAAATATCGCGTGACTTTCTGTCGTACAAACGATATTTTGCAATCGCGATCGCGTCTTGGAAATTGATAACGCGAAAGTAATACGACGCACGGAGCGACTCTAGACGCTGCCTGCCGGCACGACGTTCGGCGAGCGAATGATGACGCGGCGACCTTCAGGTAAACAATGGCCCGCGTAACGTCGTACGATACCGCGCCGAGAAAAAAACAATAACGAACGTTGAGAGTTTGTTGTCCCGCCTACGAAATTGAAAATTCTGTTCTCAATAGTTTACGTTACTTTGTTCCGTGACTGTTACTACGTTTTGTGCATCATTTTGCGAAGTTATTGGTATTGATTAAATTAACGATTAATTCGGTTCAATCGAGAAAATGTTTCGTAACAAAAATCGTTGTTACTTAAATTCTAATTACTAAAATTAGAGATTTTACCTCGATAGTTGATGCATACAAACGTATATTACTAAATTACAAATCTTCATTTATTATGAGCAAAAATTATCGAATTATTTACTTTAATAATAATATAAATTGGTATTAAATTATTCGAAATAGCATTGCGCGCGCTATTTGGTTTTAATTTATATTAATTTATGATCTTCTTCACACATTAAGATTTTTTTCATGTGAAGAAGAGGTAATCTGACGTTGACACTCTGTTAAAATGCATATTGCGTGATCTCCTCACTGACAGCTACTCGCAGCAGAAAGCCAAGCGAGAAAATCAGTATCGCGGAACAGCGTCAATAATTAAATCTCCTATATATCTTTTTCAAAAGAAAATTAGTTATCGTTGCATCTCATTAGAAGAATAAGAATTTCTTTTATTTTCCTTCATTCAATTAGATATTTAACTTTAACTTCTTTTTCTTTAACTTTTTGTTTAGTCTCTAACTTTTTTAAGTATATTTTTGCACAACTGTCAAAATTCACATGCGAGCTGAAGCATGACACGAATCCAAAAGAGAAGTGAAGCACATCGCACTTCGAGAAAGCCAATCGACATCGCGGAAAAGTGGTATCAACTGTACGATATTAACGACGTTCACGCCGTTAACATCTCTTTTTTAGAAAGGGAGGAATTTCGAGCATAATACGTTAATAAATAATAAATAAAATTATAAATAAAATTATGTCTTGAAATCTGAGTTAAAGATCATCTACTGTATAGTGTAAATACACACAAATACGCAACCCTTGTTAGATAATTTTTATCGAGGCAGATTTTTTATTTACTCTGAAAAAAGCTGATCTGTGGACCTGTCTCAATTAAAGCATTCTTTTCCTCGGCTCAATGAGGAATTGAGTTATCTTGAAACATACAGTACATCTCGACGAGGCGTAGCAACGTCTATCGAGGGCTCGTAAAAATAAACGTTTAATAATCAGAGTGAGAAATTGGCGCGGCGAGTTCGCACGCCACGCAGGCGCAAACCGCGAGCATCTCCGTGCGTTTCTCGGGGTAGTTTCGATCGTCCGGGGGATGAACTATGCCGTGCTGCCGCCCGAGACGCCTCTACCTCGTGCGTTGCTCCCGTGCGATGCTGCGTGAAACGAGAACTCTCGCGCCGCCGTCGTTTCGTGACAGTGACACGCCTGCGGTGCGCGTGGTGCCGGTCCGTCACGATTGCATAATCGTCAATCGAGTGTCAGCCGTCGGCGACCGGGAGAGGCAACCTCGCGGTCCAAGCGGGATT